AGAGAAGTTAAAGTGAGAGGCCATTCAGCCTGTAGTGGATCAGTAGCTAGCTGATCCAAAGATCTCAGTGAAACCATTTTCTAGGGCAAAGTCAACTTTATTGCCAAACCTACAAACCTTTTGGGGTGGTAGGACGTTTGTATGGTGCGCTCGAAATAACAGAGTTACAGAAAGACATGGACACATAGAAAAGAAAGAAAATGCACAAATAAAATTCACATATCAGTTATGAAATATGATTCAATGCTACAGTACAATGAAGATAGAAATCCACAAATTTACCAATGCATACTTTTACAACAGCGGCGAGTTAAAAGACCGAATAGCCTCAGGATACAATGGGTGGTCTTCTGGAGCTACTCTGTTCTAGATCTGATCCAGCCAAACGACTGGATGAGCTTCTTCAAGGAAGCCAGCTCGGCTGTGTAGCTTGCTCCAGACCCCTACATTCCATCAAACCGACATGTTACATTGGTATTTACGATGTTCATAATTTCTAGGATCCACACTGTCCATTACTGTACTGCAGTTGTTATCCAGTAACAAGTTACCTACAAGAATGTTTTCTAAAGCCTTCTGGCAGGGAAACCCTTAGTCAATTTCAACACCATTTTATACCTTCATTAAAAATCAAAATGTACTTTTTGTTTTTTGTTTGATAGAATTATAATAGTAAAAAAATCAGCCTTGTTTTGTCAGAGAATAAATAATCAATTACCTAATCACCTTTTAATGAGAGCCCGGAGCTTAGATTGCAAATTGTCTACTCTTGACTTGTGGTTTTGCTGTTATAATAAGTCTCTGCTGTGAAACAGAACTGACTATCTTTCACATTATTGTCAAAGATTTTCTCCAGTCTCATACCAAACAAATACTTTCTGTCATTGTCCTTCTTTGAAGGAATATAATCCATCTTCATAGAAATGATAATTATCCTATAAACAACGTGCCATGCAACTTTCTAAAATAAGAATGCATTGTTATGCTGACAATACATCTATAAAAAATGGAGTTTGACGTGGACAGAAATGAAGACATTATCTGGCAACGAAGCCAGATTTCTGTCTGGTTGCAAAAGTTCATTTGTTTTGAGTCCATCAAGCTCAATGCCTTTCATAGGGAAAATACCAAAATTATGCTGATGTGTGATTAACATCTCTAAATCCTCCGTACATTATGACTTATTGTAGTCCCAAAAGTATAACATTATGAGAAATGGAAATATTGATCTATGTTGTGTTTTGTGCTGTTACTTCCCTAAAAATGAAAGTAATAATCAGATTTGTGCCGATGTGGTTAATTAATAGGCAATGAATCAAGTACCTGCAGCCTCTGAAGATACGACTGGAAGGACAGCGAGAGATGGAACCACATGCAGACATGTGTATATCTCTTTTCTGAAATAGTCTCCGTTGAGAATGTATAGAAATCTTTCCTGCAGTACAGCTCTCCATCTACAAACCTGTCTCCTTATTTCCAGTATCGAAAAGGCTACACATATTAAGGGTACAGATTCCAGAATTACACTACAGCAGCAAGTAATGTGGAGTAATGGGGGGCATGAGACTCTCACTGGTATACTACCACATACTATTCTTAAGTAAAGTACTCCACTCAAACTGCCCTAGCCAAAGCAATGGTGTAAAAATTCGTCATGTGAAAACGTTCCAGATCAACTGACTTGGTAAAATAAAGAGAGAAAAACTACACAAGCAGGCTTGTAAAATACCCATTGACGTAGCAATGATGTTATACCAAGCTGGAGGCTCTCCATTCAGTCTGCAAACAAATTAATGACAAATTTTTGCTGCTGTTGTGAAGGGATAGGCACTATCTGAGTAACTATACAACTGATATTGATTTTGAAAATAGCGCTGATGTACTTAAATCCCAGAGCTCTCCCCAAACCCCTTTAGTCTAGAACAAAGAAGTCTAGACTAAACTCACATGATTCAAGCATTTAAATACTGGTGATCTAAAAACTGTGGTGATTAAGTGTATCCAATGGATTTATGCAGGATCAGTAGTGATCCTGTAGTGATAAACAAGTAGTGATAAACAAGACCACAAAAGATTTAAGCCTGAGAATAGGAAATACTTTGACAAAAAGGTTGAGAGTTGTGGATAAATGTTTTCCAGTTAGACTCTCGAAGCTGATCCCCCGGCTTAATTTAGGAAAGAGCTGGATGGGATTCTCCAATTGATTAACTACTAGCAATCACATGAACTAGGTGGGCGGTGTGGACTTCTAATAATAATGTGCATACTGCTCTGTGATTGCCAACCACAGCAATGAGCCAAGGATTGCGTCATGGTAACAGCTGTCTTTGTGAAATGTTTAGCAATGAAATGTTTCTAACTCCACCGCACTGTACATCCAACAGTTACACGGTGAAACAAAAAAAAACTTATGGATTTCTCACAAGGCCAATTTACACAATGAAAGCCTGAGGTTTTTCTTTTTTAGGTTAACAGTGTCGAACAAATAATCACAGCTCACAGACAACATTAACAAGAATGTACTTTATAAAGCCCAGACAGACTGTCATGTCCTCCTGGGTGTATTTGCTTTCTGTGTTTCTGGATTTTAATTATTTGTAATTATTGCCATAACCCTTATTAGGAATCAGTGGTTTTCCGATGACGGATAAATGGTCTATAAAATTCTATGTACCTTCACTATATTGTTCAGCCCTACTCCACTGAAACCAGAGGTCACACCCCCTGCTCAATCAATCAATCAATCAATCAATCAATCAATCAATCAATCAATCAATCATTCCAGGTTTATTTATCAATGCATGAACAGTACAGCATACAGCGAATGAATGAATGAATGAATGAAATCCTTTATCCGCAAGCTGGTTAAGAGGGATAGAAGAGTGGAAGGAAAGAAGCTTATAGGGATTAGGTTAAGACTAGGTTAAGAGATTACTAGGTTAAGGTTACGAGGTTAAGGCTCTCTAATCAAAGCTAATAAAGCCCAGTCTGCCTGGAACTCCATCATCCACCTTTTTCTTACATAACTTAGCCAACTTCTAACTCTAAAACGCAACTCACTTTCCATTTCCCATCTGACTTGGCCAGATGAACTGGCCAAATAATAATAAGGATTTCAACATTTCTTTTCTTTTAATGGCCTTGCACAATGCTTTGAGAGTATGTGGCATGCCTTATCGGCAAAAAGGATGCTTTGGATTTATTTTGGGGGAATAATAACACACTGTGGCGAGGAGCGACATGTAATTTCATTCTGCTCCAGGAACCTTGTGTACAGCATTGCATTGTTCTCGATACACAGTGAAATCTGCACAGCTAGCGAAAAACGGCAAAGGCAATTATAAAAAGGTTCAGAGTGCATGCAATGAGGAAGCACAGTTACAGAATGCAAGCCAAGCTTCTTGGCAAGGATGATTAGGACTAACAGTAGTGATAACTCCAGACGGTTTTACAGCCTCAGCTCCGAACACTAACAGGGCATTGTATGTGTCCTTCACTCATCATATCCTATGTTGCTGGGCTGGAAAGGGTTCAAATGGCTATAGTACCATACAGCACCTGAGGAGTGAAAGATTTTTAAAACTGATCTAAAACAGAAAACAAATCTGAAAAAATGAAGTAGCTCTTCAAAATCAACCCTAGATCATTGCTATTAAACTTTTGCTTAATAAACATTCTTATGCTTTTATCCAGATGAACGGTGATAGTGGCCCACTGACCAGAGAACTTTCTCAGACTGAGAAGAGTTAATCGTATTATGATTTCAGATTTAGCAATCTGTTTCTCAGAATCCTTGAGGGGACACGAGTGCTTCTACCTACCACGGCTCGGTGTTCGAGTGCAGCCTTGGGTATCTGTCTGTTCAGACCCTGAGAAGTGTGGGGCAGTGACTGGGGTTCTAGATGTGTAGCTGGGAGGTTGCGGGTTCAAATCTTGGGTGAGATACTGCTGCCACACCCTTGATCAAGGTTCTCCACCCAGGATGCTCCAGGATCATAGCCAGCTGTATAAATGGGTGTAGTGTAAATTGGTTTGGATTAACTGGTGTAATTTCCTCTTTTTTCATGGCTCTGTGATGAATGGGCACCCCACCAATCTGAAGAATTTGTGTCCCAACTTGTTGCAACTCTCACCAGGGTTAGTAGCTCTCTGATTCTGGGTGGACGCAGATCCTGCCTGCATAGTTTTAAACAGGAAATATATTTCTCTCTATTTCAGACATTATTCTAAATTCAGACTCTAAAATTGCAGGTTTGTATCTGTATACTTTAGTGACCAATTCCGCCCGGTTAGAGGTAGAACTGTGCGCCTCCAGTGTTTGATACTTTTAATAAAACAGAACAATTAACTTATTCGCATTTGTACGGCTTTACTGGAGCAACTTGTTTGAGATTCCTCGCTCGAGGGTACACCAGCAGTATATAACCTGAGATTTGACTGTGATTACACATCAAGGACCCCAGCCACTGCTCCACGCTGCTGGCAGCTGGTGCTGGCGCCCAAATTTCTGATCCCACAACCTGAAGTAGGGAAGAGATTACATTACAGGATTGATATATTTGGCATTTTTAGTTCAGTGAATTTCCAGCGTTAAGAAAAGTTTATGGCATTTACTGTACAATTGGAATCGGCTGTATTTAATATAATTAGTATTATTATATGATGTGACTGTGCTTAATACTTATAATAATGCGTAGTAATGCTAAATAATAATACTTAATACTTATAATACTTTTTGCATGGTCTACCATGTTTTTTTTTTTCATTTCGCTACTACATATTTATTGTTCTGGTTATATTATTTATTATGTTTTTAATGTCCTGTCTACATTGTGTGGGGTCGTCTGCTGTACTGTGTATGTTCCGACGGGTCAGGGCGAATAAGTATTCTAATGTACAGTACCTGTTACATAATATATAAACTGTAGTAACACACTCTGCTTTACTCTCTCTAATAATATTCATTCTCTACGTTTGGAAGCAGAAAGAGCGGTTCAAACTCCGTGCAGAGCGGGTCACCTCGGATAAAAACAAAACAGGAATGAAAATGCTTCTTTGCCTCGCCGTCTCGAAAAGGCAAGAAGCTGGGCATCCTGACGCACACGCGGTGTACCGCCCCCGCCCCCATCACCGCACATGAACCGGAGCGCGCAGAAAGGGAAACACCTCTAGCTCTTCCGGAATCTCCGGGAAGCAGCGCCGCTCCTGTGCTCGGCGCTGTCCCGTCAGGGGCTGGGGACCCACCGTGCCTTCTCTGCTCCTAAGCCCATTGGGGGACTCGGAGAGAGGGGGCGGGTGCTGAGGCGGAGCGAGGAAGGGGAGAGTGTGTGTCAATGTCACAGGAGGAAACAGCACCAGCATCAGCTATTTGTGCAGATTACAGAGCGCCCAGAGATAAACACAAGCACTTCAAGAAGTCAGTGACGACCACACACACGCACACCTAAGTTCAGTTCAGCCAAAGGACATCGGAGGACGATTTAAGGTACGCCAGCTTTTCCCGATATTGAATAATAGATATATATACTGTAGCAGCGCGTTTACAGATCTCTCTTAAGGAGCCATTGTTCTGTGCGAGCGTTTTCTTTTTGTTTGAATATTTTCTTAACCACGCAGATGTGAGATATTTGGTCACGTTTTCAAGAGTATTTTGTTAGCCCTTGCCGAGGTGCCAAGCACCTGTTGTATCGTGCTGCTGAGGCAGAGGGTGAGGAAGACACTCGAGATTTGTCGTGTTATTATAGGCCTTACGTTACTGTCTTTGTAGAGAAGTGTACAACCCGTTGAATTTGCGGTATACTATACAGAAACTCCTGAGCTGTGTGCAATTGAGGTGACATTTCTAATGCGTGTATTTCCTGTGGACTTACCAAGCATATTTGAGCCTGTTTTTCCATTTTTCCTTTTTCCAGGAGATATGAATGCGCTGTCAAGCAAGAGCGTGCCGCTGTGCAGAAGTGCCACAAGCAGCCTCCTGAAAATCCTCACCTGCAGCCCAGGTGTGCCTCCAGCAGGTGCCCCGGGCCGGCCGGGCTTGGCAGCGGGGAGGGTCTGTCACTCGGGAGCGGGACACTCCAACAACCCCAGACAGGTGGCCACTAAGAAGAGGGGTTATGACATTACCAGGAACCCCCACCTCAATAAGGTAAACGGCACCAGCATCTCCATTTCAAAAGCAGGGTTCAGGGAAACAGCTGTGAAGTGGCAAGGGTGACATACAGTTTTCACCTGTGATATCTGCATGTACTGTATGTGTGGTTCCTTTGTCTTTATAATGTTCTTGGGGTGTATGGATTATATTGTAATTCATACATTAATGGACAGTAGTAGGCAGTCCATATTCAGTTCCTCCGTAATGTGTATGTCCAGCACATTTTACACATTTTGTTTTGCTCAGCAAACTAGCAAACAGGAAGGCCTAGGACTAGCAAACTCCTTCTGCAGTGTCTCATTGCTTCTGCCATACGTATTAATTAGTCGAATACAAAAAGTGTCAGGGTGGCTTTAAAGCTGGAATGGGAAGATCGATTGTTTCTTGAATGGTCTGCAAAACTGCATTTTTGACGATCAATGTCTAGGCCTCAGACATTCATTTGCAGTTTCTGGGAAATTGAGAGCTTGCTTCAGTTAAATTGCCTACGGTAATCCTTTCTTGTTACAGTTCGTTTTTCAAGGAAAAAGAGTATTTTGTGCATTGTGTATTTTGGTATGGCTGACATTCAGAAAGTTGGTTCTGTTGCCTGAATCCAATACAGGGTGGTGTGATCCATTGAGGAATAGCTGAATAGGTCTGCAGGCGAATGTGAACAGTCTTGACAACATTCTTTAAGACGAACTGCAGACACAGAACTCACAGAAATGTAAAATGCAGTTTCACATTGCTGAGCATGGGGCATGAAATGCTGCAACCTGTGGTTACTGTTTGAAAACCGAACACAAAAAAGTACAATGGTGACAGACAATGAGTTCTCTTAGAAAAGTTTCTAGGAAGAAAAATTTGATTTTGGCTTTCCATGTATTCCTGAGTCCTGAATTCCTGAATCCCAGGGCTCTCTTGTTGTTTCATCTCCCAGAATTCTGCAACAAATACTTTATATTAATCAATGTATTAGACAAACCCACAAAAACCACTTAATATGTTATGTAATAAGAAGGTCCTGTAGGGGGCTAAGTCGTTCAATATGGAATTGAAGAGGATAGTCTCTAATTATTCGTCTTCCTTTCAAGAACAAAACATAGCTCAGAATCCATCCATCCATTCTGGGACCAGACTAAAGTGTCTTTATATGGTTTTCTGGGTTCTTGAGAACAGTCCTAAATAGGAGGCCACACATCGCTGGAATTGTAGCGTTGATCTGATTCACTCCAAGAATGATTCAATAATTGAATTGGGGGTGAAAAATATCCAGATAAGCTTGTATCCTTGGAAACTCGGTCTGGGTGTCATTGTGTGAACTGTGCACGTGGCAGTCTTTGAGGAGAAGCATAAAATGTGTCAAAGTTACAGCAGATAAAAACTGAAGTCATTAGGGTCACTGCCTTTGCTCTGCTGTTCACTTGCTCAACATTCATTTCAAGGCTTTAGGTGCTTAGAAGTCAGCACACTGCTAGTAAAGAAAGAGCAGTGGATTGATATTGTAAATGAGATGTATATAATGCAATGGATAACATTTATATAATGAGGAAGGTTATCCAATAATAATTTACCTGGAAAAACGTATGTCCCCATCAAAGACCTGATTCCGCTTTGCTAAGTAATTTTTAAAAATATTTTCATGTAGACTGCGTTGTTGTTTTTTTTTCCAGTAATGATTAAAATGATGTAGGTCTGAAGTAATTATGTTTCTATAATTAACCCACCTGTCTCTGCTGGCACAGCGTAAATAGTTCTAAAAATGGAATCCTAAACTAGAAAAAAGATGGCAGGAAAAAAAAGCTAAATCTGTAAGTTTGTATATTTTACTGTTTCTTCAATAGTAAAAAGTGAAAAGGAAATGAGCTCACTGGAATGGAGGATTTTACGAGGCGTTGAAGGACTTGGCACAACAGTATTTTGGAAAAACTCAGTGGAGAACTGTGGCAGTTAGGAAAGGTTACTGTGCATTATTGTGTAGAATGTAAAGACGAGAAAGCAGAAGCAGAATGAAAGACAAGCAGTGGGAGTATCTACGATCAAAGTTCCATATTTCTGTTCTGTAAGCATGGATAATATTGCTGACTATACTGTTTCAGGGCGCAGTAACGTCTTTTGGGTTTTGCCTTAAAATCCTTTCAGTTTCATAGAGCAATATGTGCCTGCAGGAACTCCATACTAGAGATAAGCACGACTAGCTCAGTTTCTGACAGTAATATTTCACTGGCTGCACTCTTTTGGCCTGTGTGTATTTTTTGGCTTACTCCCAGTATGCAATTTCACACAAAGGAGACAACACTTTTGTTTATTTCACTTGGTTGTGTACTGTACTGGAGCTATCTTGTACTTAAGTGTGCTGACATCCCCTAGCATTGCCAGAGTAAACAGACAGTGTTTAGAGAAACTGATAACACTTTTGAATGAGTTTGTAGAGTAAACGGGATTCTGGTGACGTGTGGATAGTTTAACTATGTGCCTTGGGGTTACTGCAAGTATATTTCAGGGTATGGCAGCAGAAGGTTATTTTCAGGCTCATTCTAGGGGTGTTAGGAGCAATGTGTGCCCTTTGCACAGATTTATTTCCTTCGCAGTTACTAAATCTTAACAAATACTGTCTTCTCTGCACATTCCTGTTTTTTATATATGGTTAAAATATGAGGTAAATGTCTTCATAAAATGCTTATTATTCACTTTTAAAAAAACCCAAACATTTCCTGCAATGTATGTGATCTAGGTATATTGACATTTTTGTTGGCTCTTGTTTCCTGTTTTGTCAGCACCCGAACAGCAAAGTCAGAGGTTAGCTTGCAGTGCCCAGTTTCTCTTCTCCTTCCTGACACACAGCCTAGGGAATCTGCCCTTCTCTGCTATCTGATAGCCCTGACCCTCTTCACCTTTTCCTTGTCAGTTCAAACTCACCTGGATACCAAGCCAGGGCACGTCATCCGTAAAAAAATTAACACAGAAGAGACACTGAAAACACATGCCCTGATCTTACTCTCAGTCTACACCAAATTGGCCATGTTAAGTTGTCTACCAATGAATGACCTGGTTGGATTAGTTCAGCTACCCCTACTTTTTCACACTGAATACTATTGATGGTACTGTGATGCAGAAATACATGTCTCGGGCTACCAGTATTATTGCAGTGTGTAAAGTGAGTACTCTGTTCCTAGAAAATCAGCTTTATACAGTTTTCTATGCCATTACCAAATGAGGCTCAGCTCTAGGATTTACCAGGAAACACCAGCTTTGCCCTGTTCCCAAGGTAGTTTTATTTACGCTGTTGGAAAACCTGCAGTTTTGCAGACAGGGTCATGATTTTACTACTGTAGGAAGGCCTAGGAAGGTGACTGTGACTAAGGCGAAACGTCTTTCGGAATGCCCAGCTGTATCTGCATATGTTGTTGCTGTGAGGGAGTGACTGTTAGACATGGTCTGGGTCGATCATGGGTGTTTGTGTTTGGATACCACTATGACGTCTTGAGATGTTGGATGATTGGGCTCTGGATCCCCCAGAGATATCACGTTGCGACTTTAAACTTCCACAGACATATTGCTTTCTCTCATAAAAGCATACTCAAACAGGTCAATATGTGTTGCATTCTTGAAGAGCTTCTCTTTATATACAGTATATAACAGTATATCTTTTACAGTTGTTCTGGCTGTGTACCAGCATGCACTACGTAGGAGACACTGGACAGTTCAGAATTTATGTAGCTCCATGGTGTTGTTCGATGTTACCTGTAGCTCTCCCAAGTCCTGGTTCAGTGGCCTGATTCAGCCCCAGGATGAAAGTGTGAGCCCCCTTTTCTCTAGCGGAACAAGCGCTCTGTGGGACCATGAAACCATAACATTAATTTGACCACAGATCTGCTTTCTTGGCTTAAGGAGAAGGAGAGCACAGGGGACTTCTCTGCTGTGGTGTTTAGTTTCACTCTCTTTGGAATCTCAGCCGAAAGAGAGGACTTTACACAACAACAACACAAGCACAGCAATATAATGTCACTCTTACAGATGGCTTTAATAAACGAGATGTGATAGACAGAGTTAGACCAGTTAAAACTTTTTTTTTCTGCCAGCCATTTCTATTTTGGATGGGGAAACTCAAAAGCCTGTTGCTAATGCCGACGCGTACAGATCCAGTTAGTCGGTGAGCCGATTTCTTTCACCTCAGTTTGCGAAAAAAGTTTGCTACAGTTTTGGTTTTCGAAAGGGAAGTACAGCTTAGCCTGATGCTTTCTTGTCATGCTTCCATATGCAGTGTTGTTGTAAAGCCTAACCTCAGTGTCCCTCTTGACCCTGGGTGGGCCAGTACTATATGTTGCACGCTGGCTAAACTAAGGAATGGAAGGAAACATTGTATAGTCCCAAAATACTTAAAGTGAGATATTTTAAGTCAGGAAATGCATTCCACCCCCACTGGTCATTTAAAAGACAACTTTCCATGCACCTTGAGGAAAGATTCCAGCTGGCTCTTGTTATTTTTTTTTCACAGACATAATACTGTCTCTGAACTGAGCCTGATGCTGTACCAACACACTGACAGTGATTGAGTCTGGGGGAGAGAAAGTTTGCCTCTGTGGTTTAGTCTTCACGGTTTCCCAGGCTGATTAGATCACACTCTTTTCTACAGTGGTGCTTTCTGTGGACTGGTGAGCTGACTGCAGGGAAGCTGCTGCTCACAGGCATCCATGTCTTGGGGGGGTTGCTATAGAAACCCGAAAAGGAAGTGTTATGTTCTATGAGATGAAAGCAGGCCTGTGTTTGTGTATTTAGTGTATTTCACATTTCCTACGAGAAAAAGCCCTTAGGGCAGAGCTGTTTCTTTCAGCAGAGGGATTTCCAGTGCTGTTATAACACTTTTCCTCCGATTGTGTGGAACTGATTACTTGGTACAAGGTGCGTGTCCACATAGGATCTGATTGAAATTGAATTTGCCAGCATGAAGTACCGACGTTTGATGTTAAAAAGAGCCGGTAGTTAAGCATCAACCTTTGGGCTAGGTAGGG